TGTGACGCATCCAACCTGGCAATTGCCGCGGTGCTGACGCAGGATGGCAAGGTTGTCGAGGATGGTTCATGGTTGCGAGACAAAGCAGACAAGCGTCATATCAATGTGGCGGAGCTCGAGTCGTCTCTGAAGGCGCTGGATATGGCCATCCGGTGGGACGTCAAGAACCTGACCATCGTGACCGACTCGAAGACGGTTGCTGGTTGGTTGCGCTCGGTCTCGCAGAATACTCATCGCGTGAAGGTCGGGGGTCTCCACGAGTCTCTCGTCCGTCTCCGCCTGCAGGTGTTTCAGGACACTGTGGCTGCTGCTGGCATGACGGTGTCCGTGGAGTGGGTCCCCTCGGAGTCGAACGTTGCAGATCGGCTCACCCGCGTGCCGACCTCATGGCCTCCCTGTCGGGAGGAAGCAGGTGAAATCGCAGCAGCGCTACCAGCAAGCTCTATGAAGGGGCCAACGTCGATGCGGTCTATCCGCGGGTGCCAAGCGGTAGATGTGGACGTGCAGCTGACAGTGACACAGCTACAGGATGGAAAGCAAGTGACGAGCCAGCTGTACAAGAAATCAAAGGGTCAGCTGCGTGTTATTGATGGCGTCCTGTACCTCAGTCGTGTGGACCCCGTCGATGGTGATGTGATCGTACCGGTCCTGCCTACTGCACTGCAGAGTGAAGCCGTCGGTGCTGCTCACCGCAACACCGGACATGGTAACTGGGAGACCATGTGGGGCAGTCTTCGGAAGTGCTGTCATTTCCCACAGATGGCGCAACGCTGCCAGGAAGTCGTCCGAGACTGCGGGACGTGCCGTGCAGCGAACCCGTCGCGAGGAGAGCCCAACCCTCCGACAGCGAGAAGCGACCTACCAACCAGGCCGTGGGAAGTCATCCAGATTGATACGTTAGAGCTGGGACCCAGCCGCAGTAGTTCCTACCATTGTGTCCTTGTGTGTGTGGACATGTTCACACGGTGGGTGGAAGTCGTACCCCTAGCCCGCCATGATGGTGTCAGTGTCGCGGAGGCGCTTGTTGGTATTTGCACCCGGTTTGGCCCACCAAGCGTAATTCGATGTGACAACGGCACGGAGTTTGTTAACTGTGTGGTGTCGTCTCTGCTATCGATATTCGGCGTACATGTGAGGCATGGAGCTGTGCGCCACCCTCAGAGCCAAGGGGGAGCCGAGCGCTTCAATCGCACGCTGCTGGGTCTTATCCGCAAAGTGGTCAAGTACAGCAGCGATTGGCAGACAGAGCTGAGCATGCTGCTCTACTACTACAGGGTGCGGCCGCACAGTGCTACTGGAATCTCGCCATGCGCCCCAATGATGGGATGGGAACCACGCAACCTCCTGGTCGAGCGCGAGGAAGAAGACCTCAGTTTGTCAAGCTGGGTTGAAAGCTTGGCAGAGAAGACGGCACGTGTGCGAGACCTCGTAAACGAAGAGCTCTCCCGGAACGACACAGAGAGCGTGATCGAAGGAGCAGAGTACAGCGTAGGGGATGCGGTGCTGTTACGTCGGCCTTCCCGGAGCCGCAAATGCCTGGCACCGTACGAGCCTGGGTGGCGCATCGTTCGCGTTGTGTCGCCGTCGACAGTTGTCATCACCCGGGCTGCTGATCCACACTCAGCGGAGAAGATTGTCAACGTGGAGATCATCAAGAGGGATGTCGCCCGTGACTTGGCCCAACCAACAGCGCCGATGGACGACAGTGCAGCGGCAACAGATGGTGGTTATCTGTACCAGCCAGCATCAGTGCTGCCAGGCCCTGAGCCCAACATTGGGGATGGCGGCATTCGCATGTCCCTGCGAGACAGATCTGCCATTAGGCCACCGCAGCGCTATGGCTCCTGAAACTGTACGTGTGCCGTGTTATCAGTCTAACTTGGCGCGTGCTTAGTTGGGAGCAAGCTAGCAAATGCAAGACCCATTACGCATTTGCTGTTCTCTTGTTTAGCTGTTGGTGGATTGTTGTTCTTTTCTTTGGAGAACCTTAGTTCTACGTTTTAGTGCAAGTTCCCTGTTTTGTTGTGTTACCAGGGGGGAATGTGTGATCGAATCCATGTGTTCAATGCATTCTAGGTTGCTAACATAACAAACCAGACCAGACACGGTATGGACTCATGATTGTATGTAGGTGTGAACAAGTTAGTTTCTGGAAATGTTGTGGTGTTTGATTTCCGCCCAACATTGTCGATCTGCATGTTTGCACTAGCGTGCAGCTGAACCAGCGCAGCCGAACCAACGTGCCTTGCAATGCTTTGCTAGGCTTTTCTTTCACTGTATCTTTTTGGTCACATATAATACCGTATACTTTTCTTACTCAACAGAATCTTAGAACGAAGAAGGAACGGTCGGTTGTTGTCTTTGGCGGTGTGTCGGATCATAGTGCATGCTACTAGGCGCCATTCGGTTACAGGGTACATGTATGTGATAAGCAGAATATGACCCTTGTACTCGGGTGCTACCGTACCCTCATATCAATCCCTCCTGCTTCGCAGTCGGGATTGATATTCGGCGGTATCACCCTCGTACTCATGTAATATTCTTTACCTAGCAGCAGCAGCAGCAGATGGGCGTGATTTTTTCTTCTTCTTCAAGACTAGCAACGAGGAGCAGCAGGCAACCCTCGTTTCACTCGTGATTGCTTAATCACATGGCAAAAACAACAAAAATGCAACCCCATTCTATGGTGCTATGATGTGTGTGTCTCGGGGCGAGGGGCGATAATGGAATATTATGGGGAGTGCATGCAGTAGGATGATGCCTGTGGGTAAATCTGCACACACACACACACGCACGCACGCATGCACACGCACGCACACACACACACACACACACACACACACACACACACATACATACATATTTACTGTAGATCATCAATCACGTTACAGCACTAGTAGTAAAAGTAGTTATCTGCTTTCATTTCTTCCTAGTACATTGAGGATAGCGGCGCTCCGCCGAACCTTCCCATCGATCGGCATCATCCTCTGCTTCCAGTGGAGTCATACCGTCACCCACAATCTCTGAGCCGGAGGGACCACTGCCACTAGTAGCTTCTGGCATGCGATCCGCCGGCTCCTGCTTGCCATCACTTTGTCGTGCATAGTTGGTGCGTAGATGACGGGATGTGTGCCTTTGCCTGTCAGTCAGTATATACATGTAGGACATTGGTGCGTTGTGCTTCCCTCAAATATTGCTAGGTGTACATTGCCCTCCTTCATGAAGCACCACATCATCCCCGGCTTGAATCCCGGTCACTATTTGAGGTCCTGTTTTGGTAGTATTCCTGGTGAGCTTCAAGTGTGCTTTTTGGCGTACTGTCTTCGGTTCGGTTTCGGTTTAGAAATTTAAGCTGCTGTTGGTAGGCAGTCTTGTAGCCTGCATCCCATGAGCTCTTGTGCCGGGCTCTTTTTTGTTACCTGAGTTTCTGGTGTTGCGATAGTGGAGCCTACGGTAATGCAAGCTCTGGATCCGGTGAATGGTCTTCCAGCGCTCTTCAGGGTTCCTTACACTAGTTTGACCGTGATTTTTCTTTCGCCATTGCTTTGGCTGTAGGTAGGTGAGCTCGTGGCTATCTTGAATTGCCGCTCGTTTGTGAACTGCCGCACCTCCTTGCTCAGCATATTGCATGTTGTCTTCAGCCACGACCTCTGGTATTCCGTGGCAAGCGAAGATGTTCTTTAGCCTGGTGACGACATCTGTCGAGATGTTGGTCGTGCTATGAAGTGTATTCAGCAATGACCAGGTTCTAGCGTTCATTGAATTCTAGTATATCAATACTGTACTTGGTCCAAGGTAGCTTAGGCATGGCATGTGGTATCATTGGTTCGTTGCAGTTGCTCGCTTGGAATCGCTGGCTAAGTGGGCATCCTTAACCATGTTTTCAATGTCTTGCTGGATTCCTGGCCGGTACACGCATTCTGATGAGCAGAATTTGCATTTTGCACTTCTCCTTACCCTGGTGTGATTTGTGGATGATCCTAAAAACATACTATTGCATGCTAGCTGGTGCAATGAAACGCTCGCCCATGAAGAGGATACCTTCCGAATATGAGGTTTTGTTCATTTTTGTGTCTCGGAAAAATGCCACTGGCAGAGCGTATCCCCAAAGGCATTCAGAAAACCTCATGCCGGGCACTGCCTTGGAGGATGTGTTCCTCCACAGTATCCACAGGACTTTACTTCAAGTCTGGGTGTACATGTATCTTCTTCTGGGGTTTGACAGTGGCAATGCCTCGCTTCTCTGTCTCTGAACTGACCGATTTGTGGGCCAAATGTCTGGTGTATGGCTGAGCGGCTTCCCTACACCTGCAGGCTGTAAGCGCTTCTCTAGACTCTCGTCTAGCTGGTCGAAGAAGTTCCTTACGGAGTCCATCATCGCACATCCAGAACGATGCAGTCCCGCAAGATGCAGTCCTCCACCCCAGGAAACTCGTAACTCTCTGACCTTTTATGGAGCTCCATGGTGTACGGGTCAATGTCTTTGTTTTCCTGCTGTTTTCGGGTGGACAAGAAGTACCCCTCCATAGTTGCATTCCATTTCGGGACGCAGAGGGCTTCGGAATTTCTCCTTCAGTTTGTCTATGCTCTTCTTGTCCTCCTCTGTGTCAAACTGCAGTGTCTGCTGTACCTTCTGGCCATCTTCTCCTATTATGTGCTAGCTAACGTAAAGTGCAGTTCATGACTCGAATGATAGCCGGGCACACCAATTTTCTGCTACGCCACTAAAAGCGTCTATGATCAAGATGCCAGACTCGTGTAGCTCCTAAGTGGTGGGACATGAGTAGATCAGGCCCATCGAAGAGGGAAAGTCCCAAAATTACTACTCACTGCATCCATGTTACCCTTGCATGAGGTAAAGGAAAAAAACTGGTGAGCTTGTTATTGTAGGCCACGTGTGGAAACCCAAGCCTGATTGGCACTCGTGGCCTTCCAGGTTTTACATTGCCTTTTTAACGCAAAAAAATGTATGCATTTCCCTCTTTTCGTCAACTTTGTAGTACTACTCAGAAACTGCCGCAAGGTCGTTTATCTGGAGAAGATTGCGATTCCACGTGGACAGAGCCAATGAGTCGATAGCTGGCAATTACACCTGCACAGCTACGAACTTAAATGGAGTCAGGACACGCACGATTATCGCCGATGTCCAACGTGAGTAACTCAGTGATGACATCATAGCTTTTAGCCTCATGCATAGCATACACCGGGGTCTAGAATTGCACAGACCCAGGCTCATGGAGTGCTCAACGTTGAGGGAATATGCAGGGGACGTGTAGAGGGGACAATAGATCCGGTACACTGCAGTCGCACAAGCAAATCTTTCCATGATATGTTTCTGATAAATGCTGTCTGTCCTTTTTCACTGTGTGCATCCGCTGAGTGCTTAATTAAGAAAGCACAAGCTCCGAGCAAAAGGAATAGCGAAGAAAGCCATCGCACATCACACAAAACTAGTTGTCGTGCTTCTTGAGTGCATTCGTGCTAGTTTTCAACGGTTTTTCTGCATTGCAATCAAACGTCTCTTATCCGGACGCCTTGTGACCGGCCAGTGCGCATATCTCAGGACAGCTCATAGCATATCCGTTTTGAAGAATTTTATTTGGCATATTATATTGCACATGTCCAGGATAAGAAAGAATCCATTGATGAATGTGTGGATTGTACAGGTTGGCAGTGACCAATACGCACCTGCGGTTTTTCCAGCCGTGCTGCTACCCACAGTCAACTGGGAACTTGTGGCCAGGCACAAGGGGTACATGGATGCAGCTAATGGGGTCGTTTTCGGCACTTGTGCCAGTGGTTGTGAGACTTGCCCACTCACCCCCACCGTTAGGCGCTGCATCTGCCGCTAGGGTTTATCGGGTGTTAGCAGCCGTCGTGAGTTCCCTTCGGGAACGGACACGATAATTTACTTTACTTTTAATACGCACCTGCGCATGCGAAAAAGTGAAAAAGCTCAGTACCCCCCCCCCCCCCCCCCCCCCTCATAGGAACTCATGCTGGAGGTGCCTGGTGGGGGGGGGGGGGGGATGTGCCTGTATCTGAGGCGTCCGGATAAGGGACGTTTCGTGTGTACTATTGGTATGACGCAAACGACCTGTCCTCTTAGTGAACTGATCGTTTGTGTCCTGTCCCTTTTCTAAATTGCATCTCCTGTCCTTTCCAATTCTGTTGACTTAGGTGTTCGGCCTTCTGTTGAAGTGCTCGCGGCGAATGCATCAAACAGCTCAGTCGCCCGCAGCGGCCCTACGTTCTACCTGGCTCCCGGTGCCTTCCAACTGATACTCACCTGCATCCTGACGCAGCGTATCTTTGTGACGGTATCACTTCAGTGGCAGTACAATGATCGAGATGGAGCTGCAAGGGTGCTGCAAGGTGCGCGCACCATAGTTGATGACAGCGGCGTGTGTGATGTCTCCCTGAATGCAAGCAATGCGGGACACGATCAGCGAAGCTACTGGTTTTCGTCACTTTCTTTGGTCTCGAACTGCACCACACTCCCGCTCAACTTCACCTGCACCGCCTGGAACGATGCAGGCGGAGACCGTGAAAGCGTGACGATTGCTGCTGGAAGTAAGGTTACATCACTGCTATGTGGTCTTCCTGGTTTTTGCGCAGGCAATACGCTCATGCATGGTACCAAGAGTACACAAGCTACCAACAGTGTGCCACTATGGATACCCTTTCTGTGGGGTCCGCCGCCGCCGACAAAATCTCACAACATGTAGCGTAGTGTTTACGGCGTACGTTCCCAGTTCGTTTTTGCGAGAAGGGGAATAATACAATTAGCACTCCTTGACAGAAACCCACTGAGCTGATGCAAGTCATTAGCGAGATCATGGCAGATATTTGGATTGCTTGCACGCTGGCCTTCGTTGTACATAGTACGAAACGTACACTGGAACACGTGATGTGAGTTTTCGCAGTCGGAAACCCCATATGCAGAGTTGTACTCTTGAGAGCAAGTGAGCACCTTCACACATTGATGTATTTCCTGCTGCCTTTCACGAGGTGCTGTCTTAGCGACTAGGGCCTGGGGAGAGAACTGCTGTCCATTATAGTTTTCCGTTGTGCTGCTCTTCTTCGTCGTCAACACTGAGAGGCTTGTAAAAAAAAAAGAAAGAATATAAATGATTTCTGGTGCTGTTGCTGGTGCTGGTGCTATTGTTGTATAGTTTATTGTCGCTTCGAACAAGAAAATAAAGTCATGTATCAACAAGTTGTCCTTTTGTCCCTGCTCCTGTCTTTGTTCAGGTGCATTGCGGTCAGCTGACCAGGTAAATCCAGGCGATGGCGGCAGCAGTGGTGGAGATATGGCCACGACGTCTTTTCAACCGATGGCGAATGTGGCCTCAGGCCAGAGTGTAACCATTGGCACGGTGCGGGTCACTGCCTGGCCCCCACCGACCATCGAACTCACCAGGTTGAACATGTCTACTGCGTCACCCACTGGTCTTCCCACTACGCGATCGCATCAACTCAAGGCCGCAAGCGAAACGGTCAAAGTTGCCGGCTTTGACGTGTCTGTTGTGTACACCCCTCCAGCGCAATCGTCTTCAACTGCATCACGAGGTGCGCCGCTGCCAGCGATGTGGGCCATCACATTAGCCATGGCCAGCGCCGAGGAAACCTCCGCTGGAGCTTGGAGCTTTGTGGCAAGCAACCTTCTTGGCGAACTGCGCCGAGAGTTTGTCCTTTCCGTCACCGGGTCTAATCTACTGGCAGTGACTCCTGGTATGGCAAAGCCGTTGCATTTCATTTTGCAGGAAATGGAAGTACTATAATAGAACCAATCAGTTATAAAATTTATAATCAAGCAGGCGCTGCGATTGGTTCTCTTTTAACAGTCTAAGGAAGTTGTTTTACCACAGTGCACATACCTACGGAAAGAGGGGAAACAAAACAAAAACTAAACTCAAGTACAACAATGGGTGCGTAGGCGCTACATGAGTGCTGGTGAGGTGCGGTGCACTCTCCCCCGAGGTGCATGGGCTGCTGCTGTTGCCAATGCTGCTGCTGTTGCCAATGCTGCTGCTGCCAATGCTGCTGTTGCCAATGCTGCTGTTGCCAATGATGCTGCTGCTGCCGCTGGTTCTGCTGCCAATGCTGGTTGTGCTGTTGTTAATGTTGTGTACACTGTAGAAGCGCAACGCTCCTCTGGCGGTTCAGAAGTAGTGCTCACAACCATTGTGCCTATCACTGGGTCTTTGGCTCTCCTGGTCATCATTGCTGCTGTAATCATCCACTGCCAGACAAAGAAGGCAAAACGGGTTATGGAAAGAACGAGCTCAGTGATGGCGGAAAGGGAGCTGATAAAGCGGAGCAGCAGCCTCTCCATGTTTGACATGTCCCTGTCCGTTAGCACTGCTGACCAGCTGAGCGTGCACATGCCACTGGTACCGCTGCCTTCACTCGATCCCGAGTGGGATTTCCCATCGGACCAGCTTAGCCAACCCATCGAGATTGGCCGTGGAGCGTTCGGTGTAGTCTACAAGGCAATGGCGACGAGGATTGTCGATGGCGATGAAGTCACCGAGGTGGCCCTCAAATGCTCCAAGGGTGAGAGAGTCGTACTACTCTGCCTTTTGGAATTGGTTTCTAGATCTAACTTACAGGGGTCCTGCTGATGGTGTTGTGAGAGGATTTTCCCGACATTGGGAGTGGGGAAGCCGTAAACAACGTAGAATGCAGGCAGGTGTGTTTCATGCAACATAGAAGGCATACCAATATGCCTGTGTGTTCTCCTCCTGTTCCTTATGCGTGTAGATGTGATGCTTGGTGATTCGGAGACACATCGCAGAGCAGCGCGTGACCTTGTCCATGAGATGACGGTGCTGAAATCTATGGGAAGGAATGCCCATCCAAACGTTCTGAGCTTGCTCAAAACCTGCACAGATAATGGTAAGACAGTGCTGGAGGTGAAATCAGGAGAGAGAAGGGAAGGCACCACTGACGAATAGCAACTATACTGCTGTGTGTGCGTGTGCGTGTGCGTGTGTGTTCTCCCTCCTGGGCTACCCAGTCCTGTCACTCTCAGGGCAGGTTTGGAACTGGTTTGTGCTTCAATGCCAGCCGACTGACTAAGGAAATGTGATTGAGCTTAGCAGACCATGGCGGCCTTGAGCTTAGCAGACCATGGCGGCCGTTGGGCTTAGCAGACCATGGCGGCCGTTGAGCTTAGCAGACCATGGCGGCCTTGAGCTTAGCAGACCATGGCGGCCTTGAGCTTAGCAGACCATGGCGGCCTTGAGCTTAGCAGACCATGGCGGCCTTGAGCTTAGCAGACCATGGCGGCCTTGAGTTTAGCAGACCATGGCGGCCTTGAGCTTAGCAGACCATGGCGGCCTTGAGCTTAGCAGACCATGGCGGCCTTGAGCTTAGCAGACCATGGCGGCCTTGAGCTTAGCAGACCATGGCGGCCTTGAGCTTAGCAGACCATGGCGGCCTTGAGCTTAGCAGACCATGGCGGCCTTGAGCTTAGCAGACCATGGCGGCCTTGAGCTTAGCAGACCATGGCGGCCTTGAGCTTAGCAGACCATGGCGGCCTTGAGCTTAGCAGACCATGGCGGCCTTGAGCTTAGCAGACCATGGCGGCCTTGAGCTTAGCAGACCATGGCGGCCTTGAGCTTAGCAGACCATGGCGGCCTTGAGCTTAGCAGACCATGGCGGCCTTGAGCTTAGCAGACCATGGCGGCCTTGAGTTTAGCAGACCATGGCGGCCTTGAGCTTAGCAGACCATGGCGGCCTTGAGCTTAGCAGACCATGGCGGCCTTGAGCTTAGCAGACCATGGCGGCCTTGAGCTTAGCAGACCATGGCGGCCTTGAGCTTAGCAGACCATGGCGGCCTTGAGCTTAGCAGACCATGGCGGCCTTGAGCTTAGCAGACCATGGCGGCCTTGAGCTTAGCAGACCATGGCGGCCTTGAGCTTAGCAGACCATGGCGGCCTTGAGCTTAGCAGACCATGGCGGCCTTGAGCTTAGCAGACCATGGCGGCCTAGCTTGGGCGCGGAACATCTACTTCATTCATCACATGCAGGTCACGTAACTTACATGTATTCCAAAACCGGCTTTGGACGAGTATGTCGTCACGGGTTTGGAACCGTGAACGAACTGCCTCCACGCTCCTCGCCACGCCACACAACAAAGGACCAGTACAAATTGTTAGAGATCTTTTTCTTCTACTTCATTTCAGTAGGCGACTGGGGAACTCATAAAGAAGAACCAACACTGACAACGAACGACTGACGACTGACACTGAGACAAGACTAGACAACAGAATTATATTAGATTGAAGGCGTACGACGGGGACAAGACGAGCAAGTGTGTACCAACGGGGACAGAAGACGGTGCAGCCGCATGTACGCAGGAGTCAAAAACAGCGCAGCAGCATGTACAACAAAGAGACACAAAAGCAGCCACATGTACGACAAAGAGCTACACGTGCAACCGCATGTACAACGAAGAGACACAAGCGCAGCCACATGTACAACACTATCCCCCATCAAAAAAAGACATCCACTCCTGTGGATGGAAGCAATCAAAACAAAATTAGAAGAAAGACAGGAGAAAAAGAAATCAAATGTGAACACAATACAGAGGAGAATAGAAACAAAACATGCAGGGCCAAAACAGTAAGAGACGTAACTCCGGACAAAGGGGAAAAAGCCAAGGCACAAATGTGTGAAAAGAAAACAGACCGGGCCCACCCATAGAGGGAACCGCCATACTTTCAGGCGTGGGCCGCCAGGAAGTAACCACGTTGCCCTGGTACGAAGCCAAGGCAAACCGATGGCACTGCGAAGACCGCGGCAGCTGAACCGGGTGACCAGGCATCTGGAAGCGCAGGAGTTGTCCGGAAAACCATCACGCAGCAAACCATCACGCAGCCGATGGGGCTACGAAAGCTCACAGAGACAGAAAGACACACACAGAAAGAAACACGGACTGACGCAAACATCTCAGCCATCGCCGAAAATCAGAAAAGCACACGAAGGAAGGGAAGAACATCCAGGAAGAACACGTCGACTGAAACAGGAGCAATTAATCAGTGAGGACACCATTGAGGACACACAAACAAATCGGTTACCAATACGCAAAAGATAATGAAGAAAAACCACAGGGCGCTACCCTGAAAACCCACAGGTCTCTAACCTGAAAAAAACCACAGGGATTGAACCTGAAAAAACCACAGGGATTGACCCTGAAAAAACCACAGGGATTGAACCTGAAAAAACCACAGGGAACGAACCTGAATAACACGGAACTTGTAGTACATCCGCTCGCAAAACCAAAAAACCGAAGAAAAAAAACTGTCAGGCACCGACTGGGGCACACAAGGGCCAACCAGCAACACACGGAAACCATAACACCCGCAAGGCAAACCGATACAAAAAAACGCAGGATCCCTGCAGACCACCAGGCAGACCGTGGCTCACCATGATCAGACGCCCACGCAAACGAACTAGAGAGACCTACATGCCGAAACACAATTATTACGAAACCATACGCTCACAAAAAAATTCAACCTGGATCCGAAACGAGAATCCTACATGAAGTTCACACCTCCCACCAAACCGGAAGCCACCAGCTTTCCGACTGGGTGTACAGACATGACCGAGCCTGACAACGCTCTGCACGGAACATGGAGAAGCTACTACTACTACTAGTACTAGTGAAACGGTAGAAACACGAAACAAAATATGGATCGACTACAAACGAGGCAGCACCTCGAGAACGTTCAGGTGGACATCCAAACAAATCACACGACAGTCACAATATCGGAGCAGTCCGACGGCAACTCCGTGACAAGCACAAGTGCACAACACAAGATGAGATCAAAGCTACCCATGCTGAATGCACGACGAGCAAGCAAAAACAAGTTCCAGATTCGAAAGCGTAGCACACGAACAGAAGTTTGAAATTTTCATACACACAACCGTACAGTACAGGGTAGTCAGAGCGACACAGGAACAACGAACACAACGGGGCGAACTTACAACGAGCAGCTAGACTACACTACACACTCGAGCACAAGAGAACAAGGTTCCACGGACCTCCTGCCGGGACCAGAGTCACCCAACGCAAAACAATTTGAAAAATTCGAAATCGAATACAAGTTACGGCAACACATTACGCAGAGTAGACAATTACAACGGCATTCTCACCTGAGTAGGCGCTCTCATGAGAGGCTTGGACGTTCGTGAGACTCAAGTAGCTGGGCCATGGCGAGAACACGAAGAGGAGACGAAAACACAGCTGATATGGAGACGAACTCAGGGTCGTGGATACGATTTGTTGGGCGCCAAATGTCGTCACGGGTTTGAGAACCGTGAACGAACTGCCTCCACGCTCCTCGCCACGCCACACAACAAAGGACCAGTACAAATTGTTAGAGATCTTTTTCTTCTACTTCATTTCAGTAGGCGACTGGGGAACTCATAAAGAAGAACCAACACTGACAACGAACGACTGACGACTGACACTGAGACAAGACTAGACAACAGAATTATATTAGATTGAAGGCGTACGACGGGGACAAGACGAGCAAGTGTGTACCAACGGGGACAGAAGACGGTGCAGCCGCATGTACGCAGGAGTCAAAAACAGCGCAGCAGCATGTACAACAAAGAGACACAAAAGCAGCCACATGTACGACAAAGAGCTACACGTGCAACCGCATGTACAACGAAGAGACACAAGCGCAGCCACATGTACAACAAGTATGTTCTTGTATGGTGCCTTCATGAATGCTGACACGAATGCTGACACGAAGCTACTATAAAAAAAAGTATATCACTGCACAATCAGACTCGGATGGAGAGCCGAGGATTTTAATGATAGCTTGCATGCCGTCCTACCGGTAGGACCACGGGTCCTACCGGTAGGACCCAAGAAATCGAGCTGCAAAAGTGCTTTTGGTTGAGAAATTTATTGAAACAATTGTTGAGATGAGATCTTTGTCAGGCAAGGTAATGGCGCATAATGCAAGGCTATGTCCAGTGCATTGCGTTTGCGCAATTTTATCGATTGTCAAAATGGCCGCACATAATCCTGTCGGTGCGCTAGCAACTCTGTCCAAAGTGAATTTTGACCATGGCACATCAATCGTGGTGAGGTCCTAATGTTTTTATTAGCTTGCTAAGGCAGTGGAATGCATATTTCCATACTCAGTTTCCATGGTTACCATGGGCTGTTACCATGGATTTCCCCAGAATGCCTTGTGCGATCACGTCTAAAATTTGTGGACTCCTTCATTAGCCCCTAAGCAACAGTCTAGGGTCAAGTTTTAGTTCAATGTTAGAACAGAGGCCATGCAGCATGTCTGTGTATGATGGTCCTACCGGTATGTCCTACCGGTAGGACCGAGGTCTATGCAAGCTATCATTAAGATTAAGAGATAGGACCAGAGCGACACCTTCGACAGTGGTTGAGTCAGACAAGTAGATATCTTTCTTTTTCTCTTCTTGTAACAGGTCATCTGGTACTGATCATGGAATTCTGCTCGAAGGGAAATCTTTTGCACTTCCTGAGAAAGCGGAGGGGCCACCTGGGCTTCGGTGGTGCGCAAACAATGAGCATGAGTTTGTCTCTGGATTCAATTTCTGACCAGTCCTCTCCCAGCCATACATCTGACCAAAGGTCGCTGGCATCTGACCGTGAAAGCACTGGACCATCGAGGCCAGCCAGTGTGCGGGTGAGTCGAATTTCACACCAGCTTCAGCCACCGGACTACACTGGAAATAAAGCCCAGGGCTATTCTTTCTCTTTTTAAAAGATGTTTGCATTTTTTCATGAGCCGCTGAGGCTGCGTATGAAATTGAATCTCGTGTTAAAAACCAACTTGTTTTGGTCAAAAGGCCTGGCGCGTAGCCCGAGGATGTGCATTGTGTATATGACTGTGACGGGTTTGAGATGAAAAAATGCATGACAGTGCAAAAATGGAAGATGAAAGACCGTTGAAGGGGAGACAACTCAGTTGATTATCATGTTATGACAATGTGCATGGAATTAGCATTGGAATACTTGGCATGGTGGGAGAAAGGAGTCTGATGTCACATCCTGCAAGAATTAGAGGTTGAGAGAGAATGCAAAGCACACCTTCTATCCATGTATGTACTTCCAGCGTTCACATTCGCAAAACGGCTGCACTCTACCGGCTAAAGAGGATGTGTTGCGCCCGCTGGACTTCTACCATTTCTCAGCCCAAATTGCATCTGGTATGGCCTTTCTTGCCAAGCACAAGGTACAGCGGTTAATGAGCCAAGTCCTCTGGTGAAATATGATACTCTGTGCCTGGCTGCCTTTTTGGAACTATCGACATGTAGTGCCCTTAACGCATGTGGGTTTTCCTCCTAGAAAATATGGATCACCAATCCTCCCTATCTCCAGCCTTTTGTGATTACACGAACACTCCATGGTGCATTGTGTGAAGGTCTGAAGTCTTACGGTCTAAGAACACTACCGCAGCATGTACTAGCGCATCAAATGCAATGGATTCCATCGTTTCTGATTTCTAGTATTCCCGTGTTCAAGGCCGCATTCGGCCATTGCACTATGACTGAGCACAATGCCATACACAAGCGTATCGGAAAGAGAAGAGGTTTTGGTCTGCTGAATATTTTTGCCGGAAAATAGGTCACAACGAGATCCTATTTGACCTCTTCTCGCATAATAGCAATGTATATCTATGATAGGTACAGTATAGTTCACTCAGTCAATTCTGGCCGTAGGGTAGGGGGTGGGGGGGGGGGGGGGAGAGGTGTTGGAGGCCTTCTGCTTGACATGGTGAGCGCAATGCTCATCAGTCCTCTCCCATCCCCTTTGCCTCCTAGCTACCCAATCTCAGATGGGTCTCCTCGGGGTGGAAACAACCTTTACCCAATCTGGGAATCAAATCCATGACCTCACGTTTGGAAGGCCAATGCTCGAACCACTATGCCAACCGCATATCCATGATAGGACCTTCTAACGGTCCCTACCGTAAAGCCCATACAAGTACCCACCCAATATACCGCCCACTACTTGTGTGAGCGCCTGGGTCACTATACTGATCTGTACACTATTCTGCTGCTGCATTGTATTTGCCCCTCACAATAGTACCAGTGGCCGATTTAACACCCATGCTTTGGACTTTCTGTAACGCTTCAGCTTGCTAGGCCTTGTTATCGGCTTTTACAATACAGGTGGAATCCTGATAATTCGATTATGGCTTAATTCGAACATACCGCTTAATTGGAAGTTTTTCCAGGACCGATTTCTATCAATACGATTCCCACATAAACATTTCTGATAATTCGAACCTCGAACTGGTTATGTCCGGTTAATTAGAAGTCCCACAGATTCCACTTACTTCCTCCGCCCAAGCAAAATTTTCGCTTATCTGTACACTTTTACTGATACACTCCAGGTTCTCAGAACGGCTTATAACGACTCAGAATGAGTTGAGGAGTCGTTGAACATCAAGAGAAACTCTCAAAGTCGAAAAATGTAGAAGTCATCCTTTGTCATCAGCCGACGCAGCACTAACTCGTCTTGTTGTCGGGTAGTACTTTGCACTTTCCAGAAGCGCAAATATTTCGTATCGACACTTTTCCAAGCGCTTCACCTCCTTCATGAGTACAATCGGCCGTGTTTTCGACCAGCCGAAGCTTACGAGCTCAGCGTCGCTTTGCAGGGTCGCTCCCGTTGACATCAGGCAAATGACCTGGGTGAGTGACAACCCTGTCATCGAAGCCTTTCTTTTCCCCACTGTTTTGCCCAGTGCCGACTCTGGTTCATTTTGCAGCATGTGGGCGAGCGTCGCTGTCGCTGAGTGGCTTTCTCAGCTTCAAGCTCAGCTTCAAGCTCACGTGCATTTTTACCGTACACACATTTTGTGCCGGATGCAATCAAACACGCTGGCTTTTCGGAACATGACACCTCTGCTCTGTACTCCAGTGGTACTCTAGCAGCACCCACCTAGCTTGACAAGTGACTGACTTTGTGTGTCTTTTTTTACCAGTTCACTCGCGTTCAAGGCGCTCTACTCTAGGTTCTTCTTTACTCTTTGCCGACTTCGCCGACTTGTTTGGAACTGGTACGCCTGAACCAGTAGATTTGTGTGATGGTGAAGTGCACAAGATGCAAAAATTGCTGTCAGACACCTGTCATTGGGCTGAAGGAGATAAGCGAAAAATTTGCCTGGGCGGAGGAAGTACATAGAAAATGTGTGGGATTCGTGCTGATAATTCGAAGTTAGCAAAGTGTAATTCGAAGTTCACTGTACACTGTACTGGTCAGTTCAGTTTGCATGAGCAGGCTGTGCCGGTCAGTTCAGTGTCCGTAAAAATTTGTGTCTAAGGTCCATAGCGCAACTCTGCGTGACCATGAGAGCATTTTGACATCAGTACACATTGAGTTGTGGGTTCATGTTTGGATAATTAGAATGTCCGGATAATTAGAAGTTTTTCCTGGCATTTTGAGGTTCGAATTATCAGGATTTCACCTGTACTACCTATAGAATTGAGACACTAGCCACTGGGTGTGCATGTAAGACTGTAAATCTATTTGTCGCAGGCATGCATACAATGCCATGCATACAATGCCATGCATACAATGCCATGCATCTCATTCATTGTGTCTGCACTGCCGCAGTGCGTGCATCGGGATCTAGCCGCTCGGAACATCCTCATCAGCGAGGACTTTGTACTCAAGGTGTCCGACTTTGGTCTGGCACGGTCGGTGGCGGATGATGATCACTACATGCCGTCTGGATCAAAGTGTGTGCCAGTCAAGTGGATCGCCATCGAGTCTCTGTTTGATGGCATCTACACACTTCACAGTGACATGTAAGTGCAGTGCAATGTGCTTGAAGTGCTTCAAATGCAACTTGATGTTTACCCGGGGCGGTGCGGAGTGGTACAAGTTGGGGTGAGCCCGAAGGCCTCGCCCACGAATGCATTGTTAGCATACAGGTGAGAGTACTGACCTTCCAAACATAAGGGTGCTCAGGGTTTGATTCTCAATGGGAACGAAGTATGATATCCACCCACACGAAGATCCACCTGATCTGAGAGTGCACCTGACTTTGCTCTCGAAGACAAAGAAAATGAAAATAGTATATTTTCCAGTTTCCAGCCTCACTATGCCGGTGGAAAAAGAGGTCTCTGACATCAAGTTCCTGCCCCATCTTTGGTCACACTTGACGATGGCCTCCCTTGACGTCTTAAAATTAAAAAATTAAGCGTGGAGCTAGGTCTTAGATCTGGACAATTGGGGATTCCCCTTGTCACGTATGTGTGTGTGTGTGTGTGTGTGTGTGTGTGTGTGTGTGTGTGTGTGTGTGTGAGCGTGTGTGCGCGCGCGTTTACGTGTGTGTGTGTTCATGAATGCATGTGTACATGTTCAAATGAATCATGGAACATTGTGTAAGGTGTGTATGGTGTAAGGTGTCTATTGTGCAGAGGCAGCTCAGTGGTCCCAATGCTCTAACTGTACTGTGCCTTGTTTTATGTTTCCTTTCCCTCTCTTTCACCTGTGACAGATGGTCGTTTGGTATCTTGCTCTGGGAGATTGCCAGCCTTGGTACGGCATCATGCTACTGCCGCCGCAACATATGCACAACTACATGCTCGGCCTTTCTGGTCGGCTTCCGTTTCTTGGATAGGCTACATAAATTACTTGTGACGTAGCTCGCACATCTGTGGCGTGGTGACCTGGTAGCACTGGCAACCGCTTAGTCGCCATTTTTTCCCTATTTTGACTATGCGGTGCCTATGGCGACCATTTGCTGGTGTGGTGACTGGACTACGCTGACTATGCACGAGCTATGCGCCTGCTTGTCAGCATTGCGGGATATGTTGTTTGCATGGCCGGCCGCAACAAATGTGCAAAGGCAGGATGTAGCCAAGCTAGTAGTGGATTGTTAGCGGCCACTACCCTGACGTGTCACCTGCTGCCGCTTATTATAGTGCTGATTAGAGCGCAGGGATTGATTGCATGGTATATGTCTGGTTCCAGTGGGGATTACTGGTAGCTTCATACTTGTGAATTAAGCATGCCGTTTTATGTCAATGTTTTCTTTTTTCTGATCGGCATGTCGGATCCGAACCTGTGTTGATTGTCCCCCTTTGTCGCATGCAGGTTGCAACCCCTACCCGGGCGTGGATAGCCTCTTCCAATTCCTAATGGATGGGAAGCGGATGGACAAACCCGACGGCTGTCCTGATGAAATGTACGACGCCAGTATGTGTTGACATCATGGAGTGATTAGTGTCATGAATCTGAGCATAGGTCTCGAGTGCTTCGCCGCGCTATGGCTATTTCCATGGGGGGTACTTCTTCTAAATGTTTGATTGGTAACAGCAGATCTGAAAAAATATATAAATTATCACTGGTTGCCAGGTCCCAAACTGCTGCCAGTGGAGTGATTGAGTGTGTGTGTGTGTGTGTGTGTGTGTGTGTGTGTGTGTGTGTGTGTGTGTGTGTGTGTGTGTGTGTGCGTGCGTGCGTGTCATAATATAAAACGAACAATATCAGTGACGGGATATACCTGTAGGTACATTGTAGTACTACATGTGCTTCAAGTATTCATTAGCAGACACTCGGTTGATTGTGCTTTTATATCAGAAGATATTCCTAGTCATGATATAACTTGAACTCTCTACTGTGCTTCGTTTTGCCACGTCATGCAGGTTTGAATTGATGCATCAGTGTTGGAAAACAGACCCTGCTTCGAGGCCACCGTTTGACAAAGTTCAGAGGTTTCTGGTGCTCAAAGAGAAACAATGCCGAGCGAGTGAAGAGGTAGGACAGGACATTTAACCCTTTGTCCTTTCGCCCATACTTGAACCGTACACCTGTGTACGGTTCAACCCACGCATGTTCAAAGCGACCTGGAAGCTACGCGGATCACCCGATCCACATGAAAATTCACGTGCACACAGCCTATGCTATGTAGAGGATGATGCACGGGTCGCTGGGGCTAGTTGCCATTTGAAAATTTTCAGGAAATCAAAGTCGAAGTTTGCTTGCGCCGTAATTTCCGACATGGCAGCACGCAGGTCGCTTGATGCAGATGAAGCGCTTGTTTGAGGATAGCTGGAGTGACCCGAGCGACAATCCTATGTCCTCTGATGACGAGGACGAACTGGACGAAGCCTTAGTTGAAGGGGTTGATTCTGATTTTGGTAACGACGCGGACTATGGTGTAGCCGTCGGCCCGTCGACCCAACTGTCGGACATGTCGACCACTCCGATTTGAGTGCAGGATCGGCAGAACAGCACTCGAGTGGTGAGGAGAGTGTACCACCGCCTTGTCTTACCCGTTGTGGAGCAGCAGGGCCAGCTAGAGTGCCGCAGCACGTGGAGCGGGAGCGCAGTTCAATCCCAGAGAGGTCCAGATCTCCGTCACCTGCGCGCCGTCAAACTCATGGTCGACAGCCGCGCAGAGCGAGGAGAGTCGCCACACGGGGCCGAAATGTCGAGCCTGTCGCCACTGTCGCTCCTCTGGCTAATGCTCTGTGTTTGTCCAACATGCCAGTGGTGCTACTCCAGGTCACACTTGTACAAATTGCACATTATTTATACATAGGAAAGAACTTGAACTTTGAATTTTGCCGATTTTTGCCAAAAAATCATTTTTGATACTCTTGATTAGCCACGCCCACCTGAGGAATGCAACCCAAACGGCATTTTTAGTTCACAATTATCATAAGCTTTCAGGAAAACATAAAGTGTACATACAAAATATCAGCTGCTTGGGTATGGTGAGTGGATTTGTTGAAGTAGGTACCCCTCACATACATTTTGGGCAAAAGGACAAAGGGTTAATACAAGTTGAAGACTATCAGTTTAGTTTGCGTGGAATTTGTTCGCATCCGCGTCCTCTACATTCTGCTGCAATTCCGCCGCTGACTACATAGCACCAACAAACCGTGGAAGTGTGACAGTGTGCTATAGGTTCGAAGCCATGCCGTTCCAGGCACGCAATATACTACAGTCCAACCGTCCGCTATGATAACTGGCATGCACCCTAAGATTCGTTGTCTCGTATGCATAGTGGTAAATATAATGAAAACAAGGCCTTGATCCTTGAGTTTGGTGGCGTTCCTACGGATGCGGGAGGCTTGACCTCTAGCCGAGCATCAGGTGAACCGTGATTCTTCTAAATGAAAACAAAGTGTACGTCCTGCATTATGTAGTCTGTGCAATTCCTTCTTGCCACATTTGGGACCGGAACAGTCAGAGGATTCAAAATTTGGCCAGATTTTACAAATTGGAACGAGTGTGTAGAATGAAATAATTATAGTCATGGAGAAGCAGATCCCGAACCCAGATTTTTCAATTTGAAGTGGGTGTTCACTAGTTTTCAGCCTTAGTTCGGCAAGAATTGGGGTTACAAAAAGCAAACGGGATTTTTCCGCAAGAATTGGGGTTACAAAAAGCAAGCGGGATTTTTCTACCTAAAAAATGGACTAGATTCTGAATAAAAAATAGCGAACCATAAGTTAACAAGTTATCCGTTTGTCTTTCTCTTTTTTAATTTTAATTCTTGGCTCTCCATCCGAGTTTAATCTGTAGTATTCTGCGTATGAGAATGTGTCGTATCGCTACTGAAATGTAGATATAGTGTTTTAGCAGAAGATGAAGTGAACAATGCGTCATCCAGACCATTACCATGCAGTACCACCTTCGCCTGCCAGTGATTATTAAATGTTGTTGCTGCAGAGTCTTGGCTACTTGGAAGTACAAGCTGGTGGCGGGGCGCTGGACATATGCAATGATGACTCGGACAAGGACATGCCAAGCAATGCATTCGAACGAGCCTCAGCTTTCGCAGATGCCGACAGCGTGGCCACTATCCAGGTAGCAAGTAATCTCCATGCTGTGGTAGCTCCTAGTGCCAACCAGAGTACTGGGCAGCCGTTGATGTCCTCCACTTCTACTCCAAGCAGTCAACATGATATTGAACATGTCACCACCAACAACACCTCCAACACCTCCAATACCAACAACAACACCTCCAACAACACCTCCAATACCAACACCAACACCACCTCCAACACCTCCAACAGCACCACGGACACCTCCAACACCACCAGGGCAACCACCAACACCTCTACCAACACCAGCACTGCTGTCACAAGAGTCAACATGCCGCAAGAAGCCATGGGGCGGTCCAGCAAATCACTGGCAGCTAAGTCAAGCAAGCAAAGCAAGCATGTCACTGGATCTCAAGGGGCAGTACCCAAGTCCAAACATAGTGCACAATACGCTGTGATCTCAGGACCACCCAGGCAAGGTAAGCCGCACTGGCATCATGCATGGAGAGTTGGGTAAATCTCAACAATCCATTGTCTCTGCCTCTTTCCTGAAGAAAAATAACACCTGGCACCACTCACCCTATGTATGATGCTATTGTAGTTGTGGCCAGTGTGGGCTCTGATTGTGAGAAGACGACTGTGTTAACGGCTGCAAGGGAGTGTGCGAATCCTTAAAAAAGAAGTATTTTTTAAAGCATTCCCTTTTTGATCTCTGTATGGGATTTTAACTGTCTGCCTGTCTCTCTTTCTCTCTCTCTCTCTCTCTCTCTCTCTCTCTGTCCCTCTGTCTCTCTGTCTCTCTCTCTCTCTCTCTCTCTCTCTCTCTCTCTCTCTCTCTCTCTCTCTCTCTCTCTCTCTCTCTCTCTCTCTCTCTCTCTCTCTCTCTCTCTCTCTCTCTCTCTCTCCCCCCCCCCCATCTGCTGTAGCAGCCAAGTCAGCCGTGCGAAAGACACCCAAGGTCAGTGCAGTGCCATTGCCAAGCCTGCCGGAGACCGACGAACCCGATGACGGCAGTTGCTCGGCCACATCAAAGGGGGCAATCTCATCGGAAAGGGACGCCCAGGCGTCACCGAGTCACGTCAGACTTGAATGGCTCGAAGCAGATGACCTGGACATCGCCGAGGTCTAGTAGTGATCAATATCCTGGATATGGGTCACCCGCGGCCCCAGGTCAGTAGTGTTTGATATGGGTCACCCGCGGCCCCAGGTTAGTAGCGTTTGCTTTCCGCAAAGCACTGTTTCCATTCTTTGCCAGACAGCTGACTGGGGATACACATGTTCAGCACAGCGAGCCTTAAAGAGCAGTCCACGGGACCACCAGCTTGTTAGTCCGATCACCAAGTAGTCCAAGTGGATGATAAGGCTGCCGCATCACCACAAACATATTGTGCGCTTGGTGACTACACTGAACACAGTGACACTATCCACTTGACTGCCTGGACACTGCACTAGATGTCCCGCATGAGTCAGTTGGTGCACGCGAACCAGAAAAGCTGCAAGGCGGCATATCACTTCCGAGCTGTGTGCTCCGAATCTCACTTATGACCGCCAGCATGCAGAGGAGGAGTACGGCGCATATGTAACCTGTTTAGTTCTCAGTACTGGATGGGCTCATGTGCGCTATATATCGCATAGTTGTGGCAGCAGATTATCCCCTCACACTTACTATGCCTGTCTCTTGGAGATCATTGCCAGTTCAAGATCGTGTCTGCAGAGAGTATGCATGCAGCCTGCTACTCTAAAGTACATGCTTGCTTGCAAGTGTGTCACGAGTGCGTGCAGAAGAGCCATACAGCAGTTCGAACCGAGGTTCTGCAGATGACTGAATCGATACTCGTGCCAAGGCTTGGAGCAATTTTATTTCCGAATGACATTATGTACTGCCGTTGTATTGTAGCTGCTTTTCCTTCACCGTGTGTGTGTGTGTGTGTGTGTGTGTGTGTGTGCGTGCGTGTGTGCGTGCGTGTGTGCGTGCGCGCACACAAACGCAGCAACATTGACCAGCGTGTGCACGACAAACACACCGTTTACGCGCAGGCACCAAACATTATGATTACTTGTATAATGTTCTCTTTAGCTCTTGGTGACTACATGGTGATAGGACATTCACACCTTTGTGTTTTGCTTTCTCATCAGCCGCACTGCATTTTCGGGGCTGTCCCCAAGCTACCAGTTACTTGTCCCTGGTATGAACACATTCAGATCTGTGTGTGTGTGCGGGGGGGGGGGGGGGGGGGGGAGTCAAAATCGCAAGTGACGTCAGGGGATGTGAATCATACATGTAATTGTAAGTCGACCGACCGACATGTTCTTTGGCATGGCTTGGAATTCATGCTGTCTGGTATAACAAACATTGTTCCTTGTGGGGGGGGGGGGGGGGGGAGACGGGGCGGCCGGATTGCCGCGGAAGTGAACGGTGTTTGTTGGAGACGCAACTTCGAGCTGTCGAGACTTTGCAGTATCCCTGTATCTGTATGCACCACTCTAACAGTCTAGCCAGTGCAGCATGTAACCAGGCCTGAGCTACATGGAACTAGCGTGTATTTGTATATGTACATCATGTACTCTTGCTAGTAATAGCACTCGAAAAATAGGCTCTGGGAGCTTATACCCTTGGTAGTAGTGTACACTACAGTCCTTGTAACTACTCCTTGCTGGCTAGTAACATAATTATAGCTATATATATTGACCTTTGATAAATACCCACACTCATTAGTGACCACACCATCAACAGTATCAAATTCAAATAAATTTGCTTGACTCAATAAATACCACTATACTTTTCGATGCAGCACTGCACTTTTCCCTAAACAGGAGTATTTTATGAACAGTATTTATTGGCCTAGTGGTATTTTATAAACAGTATTTATTGGCTTTTGAGCCAATAAATACTGTTTATAAAATACCACTAAGGCCAATAAATACTGTTTATAAAATACTCCTTTTTAGGGAAAGTGAAGGTCAACATATGTATAATAAATGTAGTAGCCTCAGGATTTATTGCAATTACATACCAGTTGTAAAAACCTCGGGGGACCTCGGTTTTTATACTGGTATGTAATTGCAATAAATCCTTTGGCTCTACATTTATTATATACATTAATTTATCATAGTATAGTCTAGGGGATATGCAGTAAGATCAACGTGCTCAATCGCACTGTGCTTTCTTTGGAGTGCCGGTATTTCAGTGCAAGCCATTGCTTTGGGGTGTGTGTGTGTGGGGGGGGGGGGGGGGGGTATACAAAGCAGGTCAGGTGATGGCGCAATCGCAGACTTGCGAAGCTAGACCGCGTCACGGATCATCATCATCAGGTCAACCCATTCGGGTTGCTGTGGCAACAAAGTCACCCCATCCCGTCCTTGTCTCTGTCCAGCCTCGGTGCTTGAGTTGTAATTATTATTTGTATTAGCTTTCCGCTCCTCCTCCTCCCCCCCCCCCCTTCTTTACGCCGGGTGTTCGTCCATTTGACCGCTGGTTGTCCTCTCTTCCTTGTCCCTAAACGCCATGTCCTTCACCAGATCGTTTTCCAGGCTTCATCCTCTCGCGATATGTCCGTAATGAGTCTCTTGCCATGAAGTCTATCCGCTAATACCGGTCTCTGAGCCGCCATGCCCAACTCCTCCAGGATATGATGATGATTATCCTTGTTTGTTCTCTTTTCAATCCATTTCGCTCTCGGTAATCGCCGATAGCACCACATTTCAAAAGCCTGAAATGTTCTGCACGAGTCCAACGACCAGCCTTCGCGCCGGTCTGCTGTATATTAGTACCAGTGGCTTAGCAGCTACCTCAGTGAGCGCTACTGAGTATCTCTAAGTGGTCATGTGGGGCTAGACGTCTCCAAGGATCCCAGGCTGGCGTCCCCATGGGCAGTATCCTGACCTGGGTCCGACTCTCTTCCCCACCTAGTACGTCAATGATCACGAGGACAATCTAAGCGAGACGGTGCTGACCTAGCGTATAGCCTCGTTCACAGGCGACACTACGCTGCATATTACGATCACCACCCGAAAAGAATTAACACCCAAACCCAAATCCCAGGTGGATCTTCAAGTACAAGTACATTGTACTGGAGGTCAGTTCCCACCGCACCCAATGGAACCTGCCACCCCGCATTGACTTCAACAGATCCAAGTATGAGCGAGCAAGAGGAGCTCGAAATCTTGGGCGTCTGCTTCGATGGCCACCTTCCCTTCCGGCACCACCTTCGCACCGTAGCCCTGTAGTCAACACAGCGACTTGATGCTCCGTGTCTTTCCACCTCCGGGATGTGCCCGACCACATCCAATTTCCCAAGCGTACATGTACATGTACAATCATGTACATCCTTGTGCGTCCAATGTTGGGGTGCAGCCGCATTGTCTTGATGGAATTCTGTATGCTCGCCACAGACAGGCGTGGCTCTGATTTGCAGGGGCATCTCTACTCCGACACAATCTTCACGAAGCAATTGCCTTCTCGTAACCTTCTGGCAACTACACGCTTTGCCACTGGCTACACAATCCAGACACCCACTCTAAACATACGACACCAGTGCGCGTTCACGCTTCCCACAGTCCATTCTTCGCCTCCAACTCTCCCCACTGTATACGTGTTTTTGTTTGTTTTTGTTTTGTTTTTTTACTGAATACCACAGAACCATCATCAGATGCTGCACAGTGGGGGCGGTGGCATATTGGATGGAAGTGGGGGCGGGGCAAAAGTAACTCCTCCGACCAAAGGTCTCGGAATCATCGTAACCTGTCTGTGGCCCACTCCCACTTGCTGCGCCGCAAGTGGTCGTTGACATTTTTCTTGAAGGTGTGCATACCTCTGCGAGAAGGGGGAGACTGCAGAAGGCGTATGTACTCCTTCCACCACAATGCCATGCGCCATGCCGTAATTAATTAAGCAAGAACTGCACAAACAGTTTTACGAGCATTGGTTTCACTGTAGTGGAATTCCGTTGAATATGTAGCGTCACATCATATTCTGTAGAAGCTTATCTCTGGCACATTTTTCATCATTTACATGTATTATGCCAGTTCTGCAAGCTTACAATCATATGCTCAAGCGCAGAGCTCTGCCCTAGACTATGTCTTTTTCTCTTTCTTTGCTCACCTATTGCTCATCACTTCTTTCACAGATTTGGTATTATGGAAAGTTTGGAAACCCCCTCGATAGGCGAAAGCCTTTGGGGAATCCTTTTAAAACAATAAAAAATACAAAAAAAATACTTCCTTCCTTCGCCCACTGCCACGATTGACTATGTGTCCCCAAACGGGGCGGGGCGACTTGAGGGAGTGCTGGCTTCGGGACGCGGCACGAGGCACTGCGAGTCCGGCGGGACGTGAACGGCTGTTTCACTGTTTGTGTTTTGCTTTTGCCGAGCGACGAGAGGTGCAGCTATGTCTAGCAATGTCTTGAGGACGACTGAAACGGCGTGTGCAGACCATACACATGTACACAGGAGTGGCTTCACGGCAGGTTGTACACGAGAGCATGCCACGCTGTAAACTCCATCCTGACACATACACACATGGACCTTGACCTTGTCCTTGACCTTGCCCATTGCGTAGCAATGATAGCGCATTGTTATTTCTCCAGTCCACGACAGAATGACTGATGGCGTTTCAGGTCGCCGCTTCGACGGAACATGCGGCCGCAGGCGCAACCGTAGCCAGCAGCAGAGGGTACCTTGGGTGGTCGACGGGCAATGGCACGCCACTCCGGACGGTTCTGGGCTGCATCGTACCATCCACGTGTTGGTACCGGTGGCTCAACGACGCAAAGTCACCCATAACGACGTCCCTCCACCTCTTGCGTGGACCATGCGCGGGGCGCGGGGCAGGCAGTTCATCGAAGAGAACACACTTCGGCAACCGGGGATCTTCCATCCGTGCCACGTGTCCAAGCCAGCGCAAACGCCGTTCCCGCACGATGTGACCAATGTCCTCAGGCACTCCAAGGGTCTTTGCAAAGGCTGAGGACGTTGCGTGGGTCTCCCGTTGCTGCCGTCGCCACACTCCAACGATAGATCTGACACATTGATGGTGGAAGAGGTTGAGGTGCCGTAGGTCCGGAGCCTTCGTTGCCCAGGTCTCCGCGCCGTACAGGAGGGTAGAGAGCACCACGGCAACATACACGCGACGACGACACTGCAGACTCAGTGACCGGTTCTCGAGCACGGCTTGCTTCAAACTACCAAAGGCTCTGGATGCCTTGCCAATGCGGGCCTGGACGTCATGGGAGGACAAACCATCGCGGTGTATGGCACTGCCAAGATACGTGAATGATTCCACAGAATCTATGGCTTCACCACCATCCAGTGCCATTGGCGCATTCGTCGGGGTTTGTAAAAAAAAACCCACATACGCATACACACACGCGCGCGCGCGCCAAACCCATAGCACAGGGCATTTCCGGGCATTTTAGCAGGTGCCGAAAGGCGGGCTCATGCCCCGACATGGCTACTTCCCCTTGTCTAGCCCCCAAGACGAAAATGATAGTAGCCGACTGGCCGAAATTAAAAAAAAAAAAAAAAAAAATTAGCAGGTTATTGCGCACTGCCTCTGACTGTAAGTAATTACTACGAACTGTCTGCATGCATGCATCACACTAGTCTAGAAATCACCGGCCCGCTGGGGTTTCAAAAAGTGGACTGTTGCTCACTGCTACATGACTCTTGCTGAGTTCTGAGTCTTTTGTCACGGATATGTCAACATGATAATTATACATGTTGCACTAGCACTGTAGGACGGAAAGGATCGTGTGGTATTCGTGATTGGTACGTGGTAGAACCAAACATCAAACTTTCAAAGTAAAGACATCCTCCCTAGCGCACTCAGGGGCGTGCTCGGCCGCCCAACTAGGGGGGTGCACGGGAGCCGAGGGGATCCCCCCCCGGCAATTTTCTGCAATTTGTTTGCAACCTTTCTTGAATTTTAGAGCGTATTTGCATACATTACAATTGCAATTACCCAGATTGAAAATTTTTGGGGGGTGCACGTGCCCCCGTGCCCATCGCCGAGCACGCGCCTGGCACTACTGCAGAAGAGGATCAAACCTTTCAAAGGTCAGTTCAATCGCTACCCAGGTCACTCCTGCTGCTACTGCTGTACATGTACGTGTGTACTTCACTGGTACGTGGTACCACGTCTCTTGTTGGTACGTGTACATCTACGCGTGTCTAGTGACGTCTCCAGAGTCCGGACAGG